ATTGATTGGCTACAAAGTAACAACACTTGGCCAGCACCTCATTAGGAACATTCATGCCATGTTTGGTTTCATTCCATTCAGTGGTTCTCTAAAAGAAAACATTTGTATGTATTTCCCATAGGGTCCTATGTTAAACTAAGTCCCTGCTGGAGGCGATCTTGGATTATTGATCACTTACAAAGTTACAACACTTGGTCAGCACCTCATAAGGAACATTTATGCCATGTTTAATTTCATTCCATTTAGTGGTTCTCTTATAGAAGACATTTGCATGTATTTCCCATAGGGTAATATGTTAAACCAAGTCTCTCTCTGGCGGCCATCTTGGATGATGGATCGGCTTCAAAGTAACAACACTTGGTCAACACCTCATAGGGAACATTCGTGCCATGTTTTATTTCATTCCATTCAGTGGTTCTCTAAAAGAAGACATATGTATTTCCCATAGAGTCCTATGTTAAACTAAGTCCCCCTCTGGCGGCCATCTTGGATGATGGATCGGCTTCAAAGTAACAACACTTGGTCAGCACCTTATAAGGAACATACATGTTTGGTTTCATTCCATTCAGTGGTTCTCTAAAAGAAGACATTTGTATGTATTGTCCATAGGGTCCTATGTTAAACAAAGTCCCCCGCTGGTGGCCATCTTGGATGATGGATCGCCTACAATCTTACAACACTTGGTCAACTACTCATAAGGAACATTCGTGCCACGTTTTATTTCATTCCATTCAGTGGTTCTCTCAAAGAAGTCATTTGTATGCATTTCCCATAGGGTCATATGTTAAACCAAGTCCCTCTCTGGCGGCCATCATGAATGATAGATCAGCTTCAAAATAACAACACTTGGTCAGCACCTAATAAGGAACATTCATGCCATGTTTGGTCTCATTCCATTTGGTGGTTCTCTAAAAGAAGACATTTGTATGTATTTCCCAGCTTAAAAAATGTTGACCAAGTGGTATAGCTTTTTGTCGAGTGAGCGCAGCGAACGAGTTCAAAAAGGCTTCATATTGTGCCGATTTATCGGATTGTATTTGTGTAATTGCATGATAGAAACAAGTGTTTTTCTTTTTTCATCAGCAAACCGTAAGATGACGTGATGAGTTCGGATCAAACTAGGTTGGTTCCCTCCGTAAAATATTCAGTATGGCTTCGGAATATACAAATATTATCATATGGCATTTAAATGGGAACTAAGTGCCACCAATGCTGTCACTTTTGCCATCTAAGTGATCATCAACGCAGACAATGTGTAGAGGGTCAGCCAATCGTCACTCTGATAAAATATCGAATCATTTCGTTTTGGGTTTTTTTTAATTGGCCAATCAAAATCAAACATTTCTTATTGCACTACATGGCCATGTTTTCGTCAAATTAGAACCAAATGAAAGGACATATTTCTGCCAAATTTTGTAAGCCATGCCCATGTAGTTTCAGAATAGATAATAAAAATGTGGATTTCCATCAAGTTTGAAAGCCGATCAACAGTGAACAATGGTCGTTTTTAGGGGTCTCTCAATCAATATTCTGTAAAGTGTCAGAGAAAAGTCTTTTGAATTAGAGATTTTCTATTACGGTTGCATTTTTCGTCTGATCAGAACAAAATAAATATCGTTTGTACAGCATCTTCCATAAACCATTTCTGACAAGTTTGTTCAAAATTGGTCAAAATGATTAATGAAAAAAAAAATGAAAATGTGAAGAGTTTACAGACTCACGCCATGTGATGGTAATAGCTCTCATGGCTTCAAAGTAACAACACTTGGTCAGCACCTTATAAGGAACATTCATGCTATGTTTGGTTTCATTCCATTCAGTGGTTCTCTAAAAGAATACATTTGTATGTACTGTCCATAGGGTCCTATGCGAAACGAAGTCCCCCGCTGACGGCCATCTTGGATGATGGATCGGCTTTAAAGTATAACACTGGGTCAGCACCTCATAAGGAACATTCATGCCATGTTTGGTTTCATTCCATTTAGTGGTTCACTAAAAGAAGACATTTGTATGTATTGTCCATAGGGTCCTATGCTAAACGAAGTCCCCCGCTGACGGCCATCTTGGATGATGGATCACCTTCAAAGTAACAACACTTGGTCAACACCTCATAAGGAAACATTCGTGCCTTGTTTTATATAATTCCAATCAGTGGTTCTCTAAAAGAAGATATTTGTATGCATTTCCCTTAGGGTCCTTTATTAAACCAAGTCCCTCTCTGGCGGCCATCTTGGATGACAGATCAGCTTCAAAATAACAACTCTTGGTCAGCACCTCATAAGGAACATTCATGCCATGTTTTATTTCATTCCATTCAGTGGTTCTCTAAAAGAAGACATTTGTATGTATTGTCCATAGGGTCCTATGTTGAAGGAAGTCCCCCGATGGCGATCATCTTGGAAGATGGATCGCCTACAAAGTTACAACACTTAGCCAGCACCTCATAAGGAACATTCGTGCCATGTTTTATTTCATTCCATTCAGTGGTTCTCTTAAAGAAGACATATGTATTTCCCATAGAGTCCTATGTTAAACTAAGTCATCCTCTGGCGGTCATCTTGGATGATGGATCGGCTTCAAAGTAACAACACTTGGTCAGCACCTTATGAGGAACATTCGTGCCATGTTTTATTTCATTCCATTCAGTGGTTCTCTAAAAGAAGACATTTGTATGTACTGTCCATAGGGTCCTATGCTAAACGAAGTCCCCCGCTGACGGCCATCTTGGATGATGGATCGGCTTTAAAGTAACAACACTTAGTCAGCCCCTCATAAGGAACATTCATGCCATGTTTGGTTCATTCTTTTCAGTGGTTCTCTAAAAGAAGACATTTGTATGTTTTGTTCATAGGGTCCTATGCTAAACGAAGTCCCCCGCTTGCGGCCATCTTGGATGATGGATCGGCTTCAAAGTAACAACACTTAGCCAGCACCTTATAAGGAATATTCATGCCATGTTTGGTTTCATTCCATTCAGTGGTTCTCTAAAAGAAGACATTTGTATGTATTGTCCATAGGGTCCTATGTTAAACAAAGTCCCCCGCTGGCGGTTATCTTGGATGATGGATCGCCTACAAAGTTACAACACTTGGTCAACTACTCATAAGGAACATTCGTGCCATGTTTTATTTCATTCCATTCAGTGGTTCTCTCAAAGAAGTCATTTGTATGCATTTCCCATAGGGTCCTATGTTAAACCAAGTCCCTCTCTGGCGGCCATCTTGAATGATAGATCAGCTTCAAAATAACAACACTTGGTCAGCACCTCATAAGGAACATTCATGCCATGTTTGGTCTCATTCCATTTGGTGGTTCTCTAAAAGAAGACATTTGTATGTATTTCCCAGCTTAAAAAATGTTGACCAAGTGTTATAGCTTTTTGTCGAGTGAGCGCAGCGAACGAGTTCAAAAAGGCTTCATATTGTGCCGATTTATCGGATTGTATTTGTGTAATTGCATGATAGAAACAAGTGTTTTTCTTTTTTCACCAGCACACCGTAAGATGACGTGATGAGTTCGGATCAAACTAGGTTGGTTCCCTCCGTAAAATATTCAGTATGCCTTCGGAATATTCAAATATTATCATATGGCATTTAAATGGGAACTAAGTGCCACCAATGCTGTCACTTTTGCCATCTAAGTGATCATCAACGCAGACAATGTGTAGAGGGTCAGCCAATCGTCACTCTGATAAAATATCGAATCATTTCGTTTTGGTTTTTTTTTAATTGGCCAATCAAAATCAAACATTTCTTATTGCACTACATGGCCATGTTTTTCGTCAAATTAAAACCAAATGAAAGGACATATTTCTGCCAAATTTTGTAAACCATGCCCATGTAGTTTCAGAATAGATAATGAAAATGTGGATTTCCATCAAGTTTGAAAGCCGATCAACAGTGAACAATGGTCGTTTATAGGGGTCTCTCAATCAATATTCTGTAAAGTGTCAGAGAAAAGTCTTTTGAATTATGAGATTTTCTATTACGGTTGCATTTTTCGTCTGATCAGAACAAAATAAATATCGTTTGTACAGCACCTTCCATAAACCATTTCTGACAAGTTTGTTCAAAATTGGTCAAAATGGTTAATGAAAAAAAAAATGAAAACGTGAAGAGTTTACAGACTCACGCCATGTGATGGTAATAGCTCTCATGGCTGTTTAGGCTATGTGTGGTAAAAGGACTTAACACTACGCGGAAAATTAACGACTCAAGTTTTTGCTTATGACAAGTACAACAAATCCAGTGCTAACTGGCATTCGTAAATGCCAAAAAAGAGGACAGAATATTGGCTACTACAAATTTGACATATCCGTGCACATCTGTCATCTTAGTCACTGAATAAGCTTTCGCCAAGGATTATCATAGTAAATAGCTAATATTAAGTTAACTAAAAATGTACTGTTGGGAGTACGGTTGTGTGTCATTGGCTACGAGGGACAAAAGTAGTACTTTTGGGTATAGGGGCGCTGGATTGAGATGTATGTTGCTAATTAAATTTATTTTCAAAGTAATACATCTTATCTGCATGCATTATTCAAAGAATAGAAGAATCAGAAATAATCATAGATAAATTAATTCCACGTTTTAATGTTTGTTTTAATACATAAATAACGTACAGGGTAACACATACAAGCTACGACAGCGACATTTTGTTTTAAATACATGTTCTTGTATTTTCACTTTCATAGTATTAAAGGTAACATTACAAATCATGTCATTTTAAAAAGAACTAAATGATTTTGCGAAAGAAATGTTACACAATCTATAACTTTTAAAATTATGTTAGGTAATTAACCATCATGAAAAAGCTGACCTTTTCATGATCACCGCGGGTGGCGGACGTAAAAGAAAAACCACAACAATAACCACAAAAGTGACCCAAGATACAAACTATATGTGCAGAAATATACCTTTATATATATTACCTGTGTCCCAGGTGTTATCATTAAAAACCCAGGTGCATCACAAGAAAAAGATTGTTTACTAAAGCGATATTGTGTAAATTTATACTTCTCATTAATGGCTAAACCACAAACCATTCACCGTTACAACGGCCATGTCACTGGTTTTTAGTTATTGAACTTTTCTGAAGCTTTACACTCTACTGCTTATTAATGTGGGACAAAGTTAATTGAAATATAAGCTTTTTACTACACGTATTGCGTGTGCCGTCCTTGTGGATATATTATTGAATGAAAATCAGTGTTCCATTTTAAATTAAATTAAGTGAAGAACATCAAAGAAATCCTAAATTTCATATTGCGTTTTAGTTCATATAATGTTATAAACGGACCTAGAGATAAAAAGAATTTACAACCTTCCATTCTTAAAAAAGTTTCATTGACAATCCCTGGAATATTTGATTGACGTATGTTCTGGTAGATTTAATTTTAGCCACGCCCCATTTAGAGTTTAGTAACGTATGCGGGCTCGATTATCTATGAGTTTTGTCGACAAAAAGAGGCGCCTAGCTTAATGTTGAAAATGGAGCTTAAAGATTGGAATAATAAAATGCTTTTATTCATATATTGTGCAGAAAAATTATCATTTTTTGTGCATTTATGTTCAAAAATTTTGGGAAGTAATAAAGTGTAATAATTGTGACCTAACATAATGTAAAGATTGGATTTTAAACCTTGCATTGATAAAAACATGTGGATACGACACATTCACGTATTATTATTATTTTTATTGCCGCATGTGTATTGTTCACCTATTGTTTTTAACCACGAGAGTAGTATCGCCACAGCCAAGAAAAAGCATATGAATTCTACTCGGGATAACACGTCAACACAAGGTAAGAGATGAATAAATTGATATTGAATTTGAAAAGTTCATTTTCAATACCTAACATGCATACTTGAGTAGGATCATTGAAATTTGGAAAACGACAGGCTTTTGAAATCTTTCCTTTATAATATACCAACAAAAAGCTCTTACTGCTTTTTATGGTCTGATATTTGGTGCATGTACTTGGTTTTCACTGACATCTGTTTGTAAATGTATGCTTATTGTACAATTCATATTTAAGTATGTTTTAATTGGCAGAGGTTCTTTCTAGTATACCGAGTTTCAATAGGACCAAATTTACTAAATGTGTTTATTTCGACAGGACAAACTTATCAAACTTTAAAAAAGAATCTTAACTCTGTTTTGTTCGTATGCCAAAAGGCTTGCACTTTTGATGGATTTTATGTATTCGTGTTTTAAAGTAAATATTCTGTTGCAAAACCAGAACATTTCACAATTTGACCCAATTTGATTAATGTAAATGCATTCACGACAGGGATACGTCTTCCTCTTTAAACTCTACTCGGTTCAGTAGACAGTATTTCTGCAACACCGTGACAAAATAACAACTTCATGAATATGAAACTGATATGCTAATTGATGTTTAATGTACTTAGATAAAACCCAGGTTTAGAAGTTATCGATGTCCCTGTCAAACAACAAATGATTTCGATTAATGCCAAAACTCATACCCAGTCCTTTTTTAAATTTGGGCTGTTGAATTCTTGTTTAGTCTTATGTATCCAACAATACGCTTTGGGCAACAAATATTGTTTGAAAAACTAAATGTATTGAAGACCCGTATCCATTCCATATTTCATTTCAATTATGTTTCGTGTATATTCGTTACCTTTTTTTTTTATCTTATTCTCTTTTTTTTGTAACGTTTGGCCTTGGTAATTTATTTGCAAGAACACCTTTTAATAACTTCCACTTGATTCCAGACACTTTACCAATAGTATTTTAGTTTAAACATTATACATAAATGTCAAAAGTTCTACATGTCTAAAAAGTACACTTTATGAACCCTCCATCACACGAAACTTGCCCTTATACATACAGTTTTAATCAAACCTAATATACCTGACAACACCCGTCAGATTATATTAATATTATCAAACTTTGTTGTAACCTATCCCGTATGTATTCTGTACATTCAATATATATGGCAGAATGCATGTCTCGTGTATGTTATATCAATAAAAGGGTGGTCTTCAAAACTGTTCACAGTGAACACAAATAAAACTTACCAAAACGCGGTAGTTAATCTCGGCGCAAGTTAGCGATGTTATGATTTTGCAACTTAATGTACCCAATGACATCTAATTTACATTTACACAAATACACACATAAATATATATATTTATATGCATGTATTGACACTAGTTTGGCAGGTACATATGATTTGTTTTTATTTTTCTTTAAGTTTTTTAAATGGCTTTATTAGTTTTGCATTTGATTTAGATGCTTACCCTTGGTTCTGTAATGAAAGTAAAAATATATTGGTGTCCATTATACTTTCCAAAATAATGTAAACTTGATAGACCATGCATCTGATATAAAGTTTGTTTTCTCAAGTACTAGCCAGGACTGTCGAATATCGACTACTCTTAATACTAAGAGTAAATACGACATAACTGAGAAAGTTTAAGAGCATGTTCGGTGAAGGTAAAAAAATTCTAAAGCAAACCTTCTTGTTCGTATGGTACGGGTCGAGTGGCATACATGGTTGTCATAGTACCACAAAGATTCTCATTGAACCTTAATTGGTATACCCAAGATTTCATATATTTCTTTTGAAACTACTGAAGTGATCTGAACCACACTAGTTTACATCCTCGTCCTGTGGTCTCTGGTGGATAGACTCATTGGCAATCATGCCCCATGTCTTTATTTTTATATAGTATAGATACTCTACATTCATTCCTTATTTCGTTTTTGGTATGGTAAATACACGACTGCCAGAGGAAATTCTTGATTATAAGTGGATGAATATATGACTATCGGGTCAAAGCCACAGAGACTAAGTGATAAAGTAAAAACATGTCACCTGGAGGTCTAGGCACGGTTCTTGACGTTAGCAGTCCGAACAACCAAGCACTAAATCACAAAGAAGTGTAATGCTTTAACTCGAGAATACCATCATTCTGCACCCTAAATTGAAAAAAATCATTAAAGAAAGGTAAAAAAAAATTTAAAAAATAATAACTGACGAGTCTCCTGAACGTAAATAAATGGCATCGATTTTTTTAAGGTCTGGAGACTTTTTTTAGTTCTACCCGTTATCTCAATACGTATATAAAATCAAAATGAATAGAGATTTAAACGCACAATAAAAACTATCGGTATTCAGACAACAAAATCACAGCTACAGGTTAAAACAATATAAGATAATAATGTTTCTGAAGACAGCTTGCAGTTACTTAAAACCAATTTAAACTTCTTTTTATATGCTGATATAGAAACTATTACTTCATGGTCAATTTTTTTATTTCTTGTCCTATGAAACCGAAAGAATTTCTCTCTCATTTGTATTAGAATGTTGATTAGGATACCCTTTACAAATATTTTTATTTATGATAATCCGGGCGCATTTGAGGAGGCGATAGTGATGCCACATCTCATAGGTTCCCATTGGACTCATTCTGCAATTAAATTTTCATCTTCTCAAATACTTGTTATAATGTCTAAATGGAACTTGAATAAACAAAGAGATAAAATTTGTTTCATTTTAGATAGTAAAGCAAACAGAAGCTATATGTTTTAATTCTGATTTGGGCATTAAAATTAGAATGGAAAATTGCAATTTGTTTCGTTTGTCTGACTGGCTAAACATTAGCATTCAGGTGGAAGTTCGACCGGACGTTGCTGTGCATGCATATTCATACAACCCACACAGCCAAACACATTGGGACCTGTTTGGGGCATGCACACAGAAACTTGATTAAAAGCAACACTCGGGTAGAACATTTGTTATCGAACATGAGGAGATCGATAGATTTTATTGAGTTCTAGGGTGGCTTGTTCAATAGAAATATATTAAAAAAAGATATATACATATGCATAACATATATACACGTACTACTGTCATACTTTAACACCAAAATATTCATATATTTACTATGTTTGCTTGATTGTTTTAAGATATTTTTCCTATATTTTTACTAAAATGGGCAATACTTCCTTTTTGAACCCCCTTCGTGTATGCATATGCTTATTCCGTCAACAGAGGGAGGTTCAAATGAAGTTTTTCTCTTCAATGATATTATAGACACTTACAGTATAACTGGATATTATTACCAGTAAATGGTAAAGTTGTTTTAAACAAATAATGTATACTCCATTCACAATTTTGTAACCATCTATCACTTCTTGTGTCACCTTCTTTTAAATGCTCTAGTTAAAAGTTTTCATTCATTTCATACGATCAATCATTGACTGTTTAAACGTCTTTTGTTATATTGTTGATTTATTACTATATGACACAAACAACAATATTTTTGTACATTATAGTAAACACACTTCAATTATCTTACCATCAATTTATTAAAATATACTTTTTAAAATCATATAACTTTTATACTTTTATCCTGTTTTGCTTACATAGTCGCTTTTCTTCAAAGTAACATATAAAGTATAATAATGAAAATATATATTGCGTCATCTTTTTAACGTTTACAAATCTCTCGTTTCATTACCATATGTTCGTCGCAATACCCATTAATGTAATGTTGACAATTTGCTAACTTTAATCAGGTGTTCTTGTTCTTAATATTTGTACACGGAATTTAAAATAACGTTCATTTAATGGAGAATTTCCAAAACCGTAAAATCACATTAAAAAGGAGCACACATTATTCATTGTGGTATTCAACCTATCTCAAATATGTTTTTTTTATCAGCAATGCAGGACATCTGCAGTATGATCCAAGCTATAAAGTCATTCACATTTAAAATATATTTAGCCATATCATGACGAATGCACCCTAGATTAAATGTTATTTATAGCAAAGAGGTTTTAGTATATTTTACCTTTGTTTTAATATTTCAATCAAAATTAAATACATTTCTAATATGAGCTTGTTATTTGGCAAATGAAACCCTTCCTATTGACCGGTCCATCATTGGAATTATTGAGTGTTTATATAGCTTGTAGTGAGAAATATTGTATGCAGATACTACACAAGCACCAATAACATAATTAGTTTACATGACACTAAGACACGAGGTCTTTGTTTGACAATGTCAAAACAATGTATTTCTATAATTCTAAACAAGAATCAAGCATAACGGTGCCCTGCATCGGATTAAACGTCCCATTGCTACGGGACATGACTGAATATTCATAGATGCCTCAAAGCAAAAAAACTATAAAAAAAAACCGAAAACGAAATAAACAATTCAATCGACAAGGAACTATTGTAGGATGGTAGAAGTTGGACCACTACTTAAATGTGTCTCTATACTACTGGATGCCATTAAAAAAATTAAACTGCATAATGACTTTACTTTCAACCCCTTCAGCAGCATTTGGTTCAGTGGTTAATATCGTCCAATTTTGAGTATGGTTTGTTTTTATTTCAATTTAACGTGTGTTCTTGTTTAATAGTACTGTTATGTAAGCGCTACTCTCTGCTTTGTTTTTTTAAGTGCTTGTGGGTATTTTGCGCATGAATTAATACCCTTTCTATACACTTTTTTCTCTTTTCTTTTTATTGGAAGAGCATTGCTGTGTGTAACTTACTATAGATCGAGTCATCATGTCATTGGACGTATTGAGAGCAAAAATATTAACTAATTGTTCACTGACCTTCCTTTTTGTAACCTGTTAATACGGCTTCTTGATTGAAATTGCAGTAATCTCAAATAGTTTTTTGTTGGTAAACCCTTGTTCCTAGTAAGAATATTTTAACATTGTGCGTGTTTGTCGATTCCTATGCATACTTAGTTTTTAACATTATAATAATGTTTTTTGGTAATTAAAATACATATATCTGTGAAATTTCA